TGGTTTCCTTGGCTTTCCACCTCATGTCCACGTCGCGCATAAAATAACGGTCGAAGAAGGCACAGTGCGACGCTGAGAGGGCTAAAAAACACGTGAGTCGATCTCATCCCCGCTCTTACTTCACGCGAGGATGTAAAACGCGGCGCCGAGCCGAAGGCTGTTGATGTCATGGTAAAGGTACCGACGCGCGGATGCGGCCGCTTGGCAGCGCCCAGACGTCATCAAAAGGCGGCCGCAGCGGGCCAAAAAAAGGAGAGCAGGCTGAGATCAGCGCTGCCTCGAAGAGTCGATGTGAACTTCATAGAACTTGCCAATTGCGCACCCGGTCAGTGAATGGAGCAGAATGGCCGATGTATGCTCAGAGCAGCTCGCAGTTGAGGCTCGAGTGGCGGCGGAGCGACTTGGAGTGGTGGCGAGTGGAGGCCCCATGCGAGCGCGTGGAGCGGAGGCGGCGGGTGGAGGGAGCGGAGCGGGCGGACGACGACGCGCAGCTGTAGAAGGAAAGGTCCTCCTCCCACGTGCTGCGGCGCGATGCGCCCAGGTCCAAGGATCGGCGCGACGAGCAGCGGGAAAGCGTCGCGCTGTCGCTGGTCTCGTCGTCGTCGTCGGTGTTAGTGAGCGAGGACTCGAGCATCTGAATGAAGGACTGGCAGTGAAGCGCGCTGAGCTCGCGCTGCGTGTCTAGCAGCTGCAGCTTGCTCTCGAGCGCGCGGATCTCGACGTCTTCCAGCGTGCTCCGGATCACTCGGGAGGCGGCCCGGCAGCTAAGGTCGTGGGTTGTGGAGAGGAGAGTAGCAGAGGACGCCATTGTTGGTTTGACAAGGTTCAGAGGAAGTCTTGATTCACGTTAATACGTTGATGGACTAGAAAGTGGTGTTTGTGAGGGCTTTGGAGTGGAATGCTCTTTGTAGTTCTGCTGAATGGATAACGAAGGTTGTGTGTCTTATCTAGAATATGAAGGGGCAAGAACCTAGAGGGCGTGGCGCGACGGGGCAGCCAACCCAAAACGCGAGGCACGAGGGGAGGGGCTTCTGTTGGAAGGCGAGGAGACGCGCGAAACAGGGGGCAGCAAGGTGGCTGGGATTGCGTTGGCACCAGCGGGGCATTGTGTGGCTTGCATTCTGCGGTCAATCTGCTCCAAGTCAGCTTCTTCCAGTCAGGCTTCTGTTTCTCCTTGCTTCTGATTTCTCAAAACTGTGCTGACTCGGCGACATTTTGTCTCATCAGGCCGGATGCTTCGACTGGTTTGATTGCCCTTGGGCTTGGCTCTCCCACACATGCACCATGGGCGTTGTTTCTGTTGGGATTCACGAATCATGAAGTGCGCCAGGTTCACGATCCCGTTAGAGGAGACGATCGCATTCATGCCGCCAGCTGTGTTTACATTTATGCACGTTTAGTAGTGTGGTTCGACTTTAAATGCTCTCAACAATAATCGAGCGCGAAGTGTTCGTATTGGTCACCATTTGGCGGGAAAGAGGAAGACGAACGACACTAATCATAGCATGAATGTGAGGCTGCAAACAGTCAAAAGAAATATCCAAGGATGCAAAACGCTTGTTTCACTGCAGCCCGTAACACTTAAAAGGGTATAGATAGTTACTGTTCTAAATCTCCCTCACAATGGAAACGTAGGCTCAACAATTTTTGGCAAACCTGGGCAAACTTAATCATGTGCACAGCTACTTCCGACTTCCGGGTTCAAACACAGAATTCGTAAAATTCTCGAATCAAGCAACCACTGAACGTCCGCCACGGAAGTTCACGAGATTTTCCACCCACAAATTCCTCCCAGCCCCAAGGTGCCAGTGGAGGAACCAACCCAACCAGGCAAGGAGCTCGTAGGCGCACTCGATTGCGATCTTATAAGTCATGCTCCCCCTCCTACCCTCATGCTAACTTGCAGCACGTGAAGAGCTAACAAGGTCACATGTCACCTCACCATAGCCAGAATCCCCTTGTTAGGAGCCGCCGAATCTCTCGCAGCTTCTTACATCTGTTCCCCGTAGACGCTTGAGGCGACCTGCAGTTTATGCTCCAACACACTATGGCATTCTTCGTTCTGAACCAGTCAGCACCACCAGCACTTCGACGGAATCACCTGGATTGTCTGGATGACTCTGACCTGACATGGCCTGACTCGGCAAGAAAGGATTGAGCTTCTAAAATCTACAAATTCGCCGCGTCTAGAAACAACTGTACGCTTGTCACAGCCCGCGATAGGTGCCGATGCTCGTTCGTGGTGGTCAATCCTTCCAAGATGCGACGACAGCCTTGGGAATGGGGGGCGACTGGCAGACATGTGCGAGGTAGGCGATGAGCAAGGGGGGCTTACATCACCCTGACGTGAGCGTCACCGAAGCCTACCTCGGCGTATCTCGAGGTTGCGCGAGGTTGCGTGAGGTTGTGCGCACATCGGCTTACGCGGTAGCTATGCCTGTCATCATGTTTCCATGCTGCGCCCCGATTATACCGCAACTGTGTTACAAGCGTCACCAATGGACGAATCTGTGCGTCTGGTAAGCGGTTCTCGCGGAACCCTGCAAAAAACATCGAGCAGGAGTTTCAACGACCCTTGTGCGTTCTCTGCGTTTTCTGAACCAAAAGACGGAGTCTTACTCTTCTGCTCTGTGTTTCATAACCAGAAAAACATGAGTCTCAGCTTCTTTTGCCGCGCTCGTCGAGTTTCGGCAGTGATTTCGATTTTGCGCAGCGTGAGGTGACAGCTCATGTGTGTTTGCGTGTTTACCAGAAAACAGGAGTCTCAGCATGAAATCTGCTGAAGTCAAGCCCGCTAAACGAATTCCAGAATGTTGTTTTAAACTATGCAGATATGTAATGAGTAGAAGAATGCATGGGGAACACGTTGGAACTACAAGAGTGGAAACTATGATACGGGAAGAACGCATTGCTTCTGATGGTTAATGACACTGCCTTTCACATCAGGACGCAACTCTGTAGGACAGATCATACTAAATTGAATAATCGTAGTATCTGGAAACAGCGGCTTATGAAAACCCAAATTGACTTAATTTGCTGGCACCGCTAGGGAACTGAAAGCTTGTACGTTGGTGTAATCTCTTGCTTGAAATTCGAGGCCGAGGTACATTGAACTTATCGAGATGAGGGCTGGGCGACGTGTTACATGAGCGAAGCGTGCGATGTGTGTGAGATAATTCGCACGGGGAAGATGCTGGCGAAGTCCACCGGCGACGAGGAAGAGGGTTGTCGTAAAACCGAAGGTCTTCCGCCCATCGCGCGGACTGGCAGCGCCCAACAGCAACGCCAGGTGAGGCAGTTTCAGACTCCAAACCGCCATCAGGACGATTTTCCCCTGGCATTGCAGCACTTTCCATCCACCGGGCCGACCGGCTTCGCACTGACGGGGTTACAATGCAGTGCCCGCTCTCACCGCGGCAGTCTAACGACTCGCAGAGCGGCTTAGCGAACGCGAATCGGACGCTATGGTTTCTGACGGGGAAGGACGAAGATGATGACGTGGCACCGGAGTGGAGACTTCGCGAGGACGAGAGCGACGCCAAGGCTCGTCGATTGGCGCGCTCGAACTCGTCGTCTGAATTGCCCTCAGTCGATGAGCAGGTGCTATCTGATTCCCAATTACTCTCCATCGCGGAGCACGAAGCGCCGTTCAACGCGTTCTTGGAGCAATTATCGACGCGCGGGGATGGACGCTCGGTGACGCCCCATCTCCTCTCCGTGACGGTTGCGCTGCAGTTGAAAGCAGAAACATCGGCGGATGAGGTTTGCGCGTTGGCCGCAGCAGCCTCCTCGAACGAGTCGCGCAGCGAGCGTATGAACTGCTGGCATCGCATGGCGGTGAGCTCGCGTTGCGTGTTGAGAAGCTCTAAGCGACACTCAAGCGCGTGCACCTCGACGTCCTCAACGCGGCTGCGAACGCGGGGAACTGTGAAATTCGACGGTTTATGAGACGCATCGCACTGAGTCCGATTGTCGCCTTCTAGGTTAACTAAAGCGTCGGAAGGGACCTTTCCTTTCTGAATGAGTCCTACGGTAGCCATGGCGAGGCTGCGGTTTTCGCCGAGACGACGATCGTTTTGCAAGGTTGGAAATCTCGAGTATCGCAGTATGTAGACGCAAGCCTCTGCTGAAAGGCATAGAGCTACGACGCTGGGATATAAACCAGGAATTCGAGAATAAACACGCGCCAAGATGGGCTGTCAAGAAAAGTAAGCGCGTGCCATATCTTAAAACCAAGAGCCTCCATGCGTCCCGCCATCGTAAACAAAGAGCAAGCTTGACGTCCTACCAGAATGAACAGCAGCTATGTGTGCGTATTCCTTGGTGGTGATGCTTTGTGAAGCAAAAAGCGTTTCACATCCCCCCTATCCCCTCCTTGAGGAGGCAAGAGGGGAGCAGCAAGCGCGCCACATCAACTGCTCCGATCACATTCGACAGCAGCCTGTCAAACGACCCCTCCTCATGCCTTGCCACATCAGATTCGGTACGTTTACCCGCAACATCGCCCACTGCTCGCACGCACCGCATCTGGCCGGACCGCTTTGAATGTCCACTATTCATCACATGACGCCGCCCTTCTGGCAATTCATGCTGACGGGACAAGGTTTGGGCCAGCAATGCGATTTGAAGCCTTTTTACTGGCCGAGCTAGTTGGATGCGCACCGCACGACTCTGTTTGACCAATTTGCGGTATGGGCGCCCCGATATCGATAGTATCCATCTCGAGTACTGAACACCGTATCAAAGCACAACTACATGGAAAACAGTGGCTGATATGAAACTGGCTAGGCTAGGCTAGTGATTCAACATCACCACCACCACCATCGATTTGGTAACAGCAATGAGTGATATTTTCACTGGACAAGAAGCTCTTTGCTTCTACATGCTAAACTAGGAACTTCGCAAAATTCCCCCACCACCACCTTCTCAAAATTCTGCCTGCCATCTCCCACCACCTTATCTTCCCTCGTCCGCTTCAATTGCCGATGCAGCGCCGCCACTCACGCCGGCGCTGCAGAGGAATCCAAGCTGTCCCACACGCCAGTGAGGTCATACTTGCTGGGCGCTGCTGCAGCCGGCACGCCGCCCAGCCCTGCTGCTACAGCCGCCGCTGCCGCCCCTGCGGCCTCGGGGAATGCGTCCCAAATGCGGATGGCGCCCGTGTGGGAGCCGCTGCACATGCGGCCATAGTCCAGATCCACTGCCACGTGTCGCACCTTTTGGGGGAAAGGCAGGGGAGGGGGGAGAAGGGGGGGGGCATGGGTGGGTGTGGGAGCCGCTGCGCACGCGGCCATAGTCCAGATCCACTGCCACGTGCCGCACCTTTGGAAAGAAAGGCAGGAGGGGAGGGTGGGGGGAGAAAGTGGGGAGGCAGGTGGGGAGAAGGACGGGTAAGAGAATCAAGGGAAATGGCAAGGGAGTTGGAGGGAGTGGTGGGCACAGGCTGTGTGGCAGTGACAGAAAATTTGGCATGAGCAGGGGTGAGTGTACGAGTGATAAATCGCAACAGAGAATTGTACAAGGGAGGAGCATCTTGGCTCACCACATCGGGCATGTTGGCAACCATCTTGCTGACGGCCCACGTGGACGGGTCACCGCCGCCGCTGCCGGTGCCACCAACGCGGCCATCAGCGTCGGTGAATTCGAGGAACATGAGCTGGTTGCTGGCGGTGGCCACGCCTGTCACCTCGTCCATCAGCCGCACCGCCACCACTGCTTCTGATGACGACGACCCACTCGTCTCCTGCGGTATGTACTGGTCTGTTGCGGGGGGGACCGGGGGAAGGAGACGAGGAGGGAGGTCAGTGTGGGTAATGGGAGAGTGGGAGATGGGAATTGAGTATGCCACCACCGCCTCCAATGACGATGACCCACTCGTCTCCTGCGGAATGTACTGGTCTGTTGGTGGCGAGGGGTGTGAAGAGGGTGGCGGAGCAAGGGAGGGGAATGAGAATCATGCGCTGTGCCGGTATGGCTTCTTGCAGGATCTCCGACTTGGGCCGCGACACAACCGGCCCAAATCCAAGTGGCAGCGCGCCAATGATAACTGACCTATCTGCCTTGTTGGGACTGTTAGCACGGAAGACGCCACTGAGTCGCTCTCCTTGAATCCAAGGCGTAGCGTGCTTTGAGACGTCTCAAAACACGGCGTAGCACACACTCACTCACCGTCCTCCTTCTTCCAGATGCGGACCATGCCGTCTGCCGACCCGGTGGCAAGGCGGTGCGATGATGTGCAGTAGTCCATGGTGCTCACTGCCCCGCCGTGTGCGGTCAGGATCTTCTCACAGTCGCCCGTCTCCACGGACCAGATCTTGGCCGTCCAATCGTGGCTGCCCGTGATGATGATGTCCTTGTTGACCAACACACAGCTGCCACGTGGCCATGCCGGTGCGGGAGAACGGGGAAGATCACACAAGGGCAAGAGCAGGCAAGCGAACGAAGGCAATGAGAGGTGAAAGCCAATGAAGGCAAAGCGGGTGCATGGAGCAGAGTCAGGGCAGATCACATGGTATGCCGGCTACAGGGCTGGTTGAGGGAGGGCGCACCTGACCCAGTTGCTGTGTGCCTCGAGGAAGTGCATCTCCCTGCCCGCCCTCATGTCCCACACCCGCGCCGTGCTGCCGCATGCACAGAGGACATGGTGGAAAGACGGGGCGAGAGGAGGCGAGAGGGGAGAAGGTGAGTGGAGCGACGACTGATGAATGTGTGGAAGGAGAAGATGAGAGGTGGGGGTAGGGCTGAAAGTGGGCAAGCGGGGTTGAGCACCAGGGAGGTGCAGCTCAGGAGCAAGGGGCGAGGCGAGGAGGGCGACAAGGCGAAGCGTGAGGAGAGGAGTGAGGAGAGGAGCGAGGAGAGGAGCGAGGAGAGGAGTGAGGAGAGGAGTGAGGAGAGGAGTGAGGAGAGGAGTGAGGAGAGGAGTGAGGAGAGGAGTGAGGAGAGGAGCAACAAGAGGAGGAAGGGGATGAGTCGGAACAAGGCATGGAGAGGTCTCTGCTAAGAACCACACAGCAGTAGCACATGCAGTATCCCCCAGCAGCACATGCAGTACCCCCCAGCAACAAGGACCCCCCATCCTCGTGCCAGCTGAGGCACAGCACTGCAGCGCCCCGTGCAGGCTGTGTTTGGAGTCGACTCAAGACAACCGTCATGCCCAACCTAGCCACACATACACATACATGTACACGACGGCATGGCCTGTGGCAATAAGTCCCCCTCGTCCTCGTGATAACTGGAGCAAAGCGCCACAGCATCATGTGCGGGTTGGCCATAACGAGCTTTGGTATGAGTCACAGCACGTACCCGTCAGTGTGCCCTGTGGCAATGAGCCCTCCCGCGTCCTCGTGCCAGCTGAGGCACAGCACGGCAGCACCCTGTGCGGGCTGCGCCGCGGTGAGAGCGCGGCGGTGCGAGCGCATGTCCCACACCTCCACCAGCCCGTCCAGCCCTGCTGTCACTGCTGCACTGCGCGCGAAGCCGGAGAGGAATCGCACACAGGAGATCTGTGGGTGGACAGGCAGGAGGAAGCGGGGAGGGGGGAGAGTGGGATGGAAAAAAGGGGGGGGAGAGAGCGGGTGAGAGGCATGAGAAGCATGTCCCACACCTCCACGAGGCCGTCTAGGCCCGCTGTCACTGCTGCACACAGGGGTGACAGTGGGCCTCGACGGGAAGCGCACACAGGAGACCTGGGGAGGGGGGGAGGTGGAAAAGTGGGATGGGGAGCAGGGGGAAAAGCACACCACGCTTTCACTCACGGGGGCGGATTCCCAACACGGACACACACACACTGGGGCGGTGAGAATCTCTACTTTTGAGGTGCGCCAGAAATCAGAACAGGCGCTTACAGGGGCAGTGTGGGCGTCGAGGGTGGCGAGGGGCAGCGAGGTGCGCTTGTCGAAATGCAGCACCTTGCAGTCGTCTCCACCTGACAGGATGCTGCTCGCATTTGACGAGATGGCGCGCACCGTGCTGGGGGGATAAATGGAGGAAAGGGGAGAAGAGCGGAAGAGGGGAAGTGAGGAGTTGGAGCACGGGGTGAGACAGCGTGTGGTGGCAGGGAGAGCGGGAATGAGGCCGCAGGAATGAATGGGCGGGAGATCTGATGTGGCGGTGTGTGAGTGTGAGGCTGAAAGGGCAGGGTAGGCACCACCACTGAGTGCACTCTCTACTTGATCGCCCCAGTCCCCCGAATTCACTCCACACCCTCTCCCTTCATGCCCCCGCCCCCTCCCTCACGCACAGCCTCCCATGCACCCCACCCACTCCCCATGCTCTCTCCTCCCCATCAGCCCCCGGCACGCACCCCTCGTGACCTCGCATGGTGGCACGCATCTCTGCGCCCACACGGTTCGCACTCCACAGCTTCACCTGCCATCCCCACACACATGTGGACATGGGGGAGACAGTGGGATTGGGCAGGGCAGAGGAAATGGGAGAACGGCAGAGGAGAAGGGTAGATAGAGTGGAGGATAGAGTGGAGGATAGAGTGGAGGATGGTGAGACAGTGGACTGCAATGAGCGCAATCAGGGACTCACAGTGCGGTCAGCGGAGCCGGAGACGAAGTAGCCGGCGTCATCACAGCCGGAGAGCAGGTCGCCCAGGTCGCTCACGGACCCCACGTGCAGCGCTGTCACCGCTGCACTGTGCCCCCTCAGCACCCTCACGCCCGCCTCGCCCTCCTTCCTCGCCTGATGGTGCACCGGCTCTGAGGGGCAGGCGCACGGGGGTGGAGGGTAGGGAGGGAGGGAGGATGGGAGTAGTGGCAAGGATGGCGGAATGTGGGAGGGTGGGAGGCTTTGAGGGGATGGTGAGGGGATTGGGAGAGGCGTTGAGAGGGCTGATCTGGGTAGGTGTGATTGTGATGTGACGGTGCTGACAGCGATGGCGCTGACACGTGCTAACACCAATGGTGCTGACCACGCTGCTGTTGAATGAGGACAAGAACAGAGATGCCACAGCACAAGTTTTGCAGATAATGCAAGCAGCCTGCACTGCACGCACCTGCTTGAACGAGGCGGTCTGCCCGGCGGTCAAGCCCATCCGCCTTGCCCTTGCCTCTCGGGCTCGTTTTGAGACGTCTCAAAACAGCACTTTTATCACATGCCACGGCACGAGTGATGCAAGCAGCCTGCACGCACCTGCTCTCACGAGGCGGTCTGTCCGGCGGTCAAGCCCATCCGCCTTGCCCTTGCCTCTCGGGCTCGTCATCCCTCCTCCCCCGCCCTTGGGCGTCGTGGTCGCCGCACCCTTCCCCCCCACATCAAAGTTCACCCCCCGCCGCCCCGCCTTGCTCTTACTCCGTGACAGACCCTTATGCTGCACCGCACCCCCCCCTTCCCCCTCCAGAGTGTTATTACTGTCCACACGCGCCATACCGTCCGCCCCTGCCCCGCCCCCCCCAGCAATGGAGGCGCTTTTGAGGCGCGTGGCCTGCTCCATCTTGGGGGCGATGCGCGGCGCCAGCGCCATCATGAGCGCCAGGCGTGGCGGGCCATAGAAGCGGAACTTGAGCTGGATCAGGGACAGCTGGCCGCGCAGCAGGTTCTGGAGTGGGGTGGGGGTGGTGAGAGGGGAGAGGGCGGAATAGGGAGAGGGTAGGGGGAATGTGTGCGAGAGTATGCTGGTTGGTGGTGTGGCGGGCCGCAGATGGCACTTGAGCTGGATCAGGGACAGATGGCTTCGCAGGAGGTTCTGTGGTGAGGAGAAGGCGGGAGAAGGGGAGCGTAGGGGGGGTGTTTGGGCGAGTATGGTGCTGGTTGGTGGTGTGACGGGCTGATAGAAGCGGAACGAGGGGGGGAATGGAATTCAGGGGGAATGTGTGAGTGTTGTGCTGCGCACCCATCACTACGCATTGACAGCTGCTCCCTGCAATCAATAAAAGCTCCACCCATCCACCATTCACCCATCAAGCCATTCACTAATCCAGAACCCCCTCCCCAGCGCCACCATCTCCCCCATGCAGCACGGGGTACCGTCCCTTCGCCCTCTCCCCTCCCTCCAGCAGCAGGGCACCTGGCGCTTCTCCCGCAGGCCGTGCTCGCTGGCGAGGTGCAGCAGCATCTTCCACGTCTCCTTGTCCGCTATGCCCAACTCCACCTGCCATGAGGGGGGAGGGGAGAGAAACAGAAGGGGAGAGAACGGACGGATGGACAGACTGAGGGATGGAGGGGAGGGGAGGAGGGGCATATGGAGGCAGCATGCGATGTTGTGACAAGCTGAGCACAGGTAGCGACCCATGGGGGGCGAGATTCTGCAGAGTAGGTATGGCATGGACTTCGTGGTTGCGGAGAAGCAGAGCAAGAGAAGAACCACAGAGAGACTGGGGGGTGGAGGAATGGGTGGGGGAAAGTGGGATGGACAGAAATGAGAGGTGGGGCGGGAGGAGACGGGAGGTGGTGCGTGGGGGAAGGGAGGTGGGGCGGGGCGGGTACCATGTGGAAGGCGCAGGCTTTGAGTGTGAGCATGACCATCTGTGAATAGTTGCCAAAGGAACTGTTAGAGACCAGGGGGATGGGGGCAATGGGAGAGGGTAGAGGGGGAAGGAGAAAAGGGGAAGGGGGGAAGGGGGAAGATGAGCAGGTGAGTAGGTGAGGAGTCGAGGAGGCAAGAAGGGGTTGGAGCAAAGGTGGGAAAGCTGTGAGGGTGAGGGGTGGGGCATGTGTGTGGTGTGGTGGGGGAAAACGATGCAGTGGGCAGACCAGAGGATGATGCCATGGAGGGCAGCACGACAGACAGAGACGTTGCAAAGTTTGAACGAAATCGCAAGAAGAGCGTAGAAGAGGCAGTGCAGATGAGAGATAAGGGCGAGAGAGGGGAAATGGCTTACTCTTCTCCAAGCTCCTGCATGCGCTGCTCAAAGAGCTCGTCCCATAGGCTGCAGAGACAACATGAGGAGGAGCGAGGAGCACCAGGAGAGGGGGGGAGGGGAACACGGCAGGGCACGGTTGGAGAAATTGAAGGAGTGCCAGGCGCTTCTGCGTATGAGTGTTCTACAAGCAGCTTTGCAACTTTGCAGCTTTGCCCATGCGAGAAAGTCATGCCTGCCATTGACTCACGCCTGCGAGTGCCAGACGTGCAGGGAGCCGAGGTAGCGGCGCATGAAGTCGAGCATGCCGAACTCGTCCCGGAAGTAGATGCGCCCCGCTATCTCCAACAGCCCCCCCGCCACCTGGTAGTCCCTCCTCTCCCCCGCCCTCGCCGCTGCCACCAGCATCTGATGCGGGACAGGAAAGGGGCGAAGAGAGGGGAAAAGATGGCAACAGAGGAGCGAAGAGGGAGATTGGAGAAAATGGGGAAAAAAGAGACAGTGGGAGCTAGAAAACATGGAATGGGACTGATTCAGGTCAACCAATCATGCCCTTGACCCCAGCCATGTGGCACACCAACCCTCTCCCCAGCCTCTCACCATCATCACCATCCCCATGCTTGAGCCCCTCTGCACCCCTCGCCCCAGCTCCTCACCCACCCCCTCCCAGGCGCTCACCAGCTCACGACACGCCATGAACATCTCTCGAGTGAGCTCGCCCGACCACCCCTGCATGCACCCACACAGGCAGGCAGACAGGCAGACAGACACGCAGACAGGCATGCAGGCAGGCAGGCAGAGCGAGCGAGGGGAGGGGAGATTGGGTGGGGGGTGTGAGTAAGAGATTGGGACGGATGTGAACGGCACAGCGGGTTGCGATGGAGGCAGAAAGGTAGGCATTAAGGAAGGGAGATAGGCAGACAGTGGTTGGTGGGTGAAGAGCAGGAGGGGAGGCGAGGGGAGGGATGGGGTAGTGGCATACGATGGTGATGTTCTCCTCCAGGCACGCGAGGAAGCTGGAGCCCCCAAAGCCCTCGGGGTCCGACTCGATCATTCCTGCATGCAGCACCACACCGCACCGCATAGGACAGCATGGGTGACGCATTGAACGGTGAGGATTGAGAGGTCAGGATCCAGGGGAAGATGGGGGGAGCAAGGAGGGGGGGGGTAAGCGGAAAGCGAAGTTGTGGGGGAGGAGTTGAGGGTTGGGCTGGGGTGGGGTGCGGTGGGGTAGGGTTGATACCGTAGATAGTGCCGTAATGCTCTGAGCCCATGGGGTGCTCGCCGGGAGGAAGCCCTCGTAGTTGGTCCCATAGTTGCTGCACATGTGCATGCACACACATCAACACATGCACATGCGTATGAACATGGATGCACATGAGCAAGCACAGAGGCAAACATGCACACATCCACATGAAACGTGCATGCACATACACAGGCACACAGGTGAACACTGAAATGCACGGACTAGACAACAAATGTGACTACATGAGGTGAGAGGAAGGTGGTTCACAAGAATAGGCAGGGGCGCGGTGAGAGGGGGGGGGAGCAGGGAGCACTCACACAGAGGCGCACTTGTGTGTCCACCTTCATCATCTCCCTTTGTGCCTGCTCACGTTGCACATAACACACGAGAAAGCGGGGCGATGAGAAAGGGAGGGACACGAGAAGAACACAAGTCTCAGGCGCTGTGGTAAGAACTAAGGGAAGCACGGACGAGAGGGGGAGGGGGGCGGAAGGGGAGAGTGGGGGTTGTATAGAAGCAGAGGCAGCTGCTCAAGCTTATCAACCTGAATTCTCACTCTTCCACCCCCCCACACTCCACTCTCCCTTTCCCCTTGCCTATCTCACTCCCTACCCATCCCCACTTCCCGCACCCAGCCCTATCTCCTTCAGCCATGGCCTAATCGCATCCCATCCTCACTCACACACACAACAAACAGACGCACACATCTGCACATGCACGCACTCAACCACACCCCGCCCACGCCCACCACACACCCCCACAAACCCCCCCGGCACACACACACACACACACACACACACACACACACACACACACACACACACACACACACACACACACACACACACACACACACAGAGACACTCCACGCACCCCTCGCTCCTTGGAGCTGCGCGTGCGCCCCAGACGCCGCTCCTTGAGCCACGCCCTCATGGCCTTCTCCACCGCCAGACTGCCCCCCGCGTGCACAGGAGAGGGGATTGTGGGGGAGGAGTGTGTGGGAGGGGAACAATGCACACACACAGGGGGGTGGAGGGGTGGTAAAGGTGGTAAAGGTGGCCCAAAACGTGCTGCTACTGTACTTTCATGCCTGGGCCAACACTCCACACCAATCCAGCGGACACAGAGGGCACGGCAGGGTAACAGCAGAGCAGCTTGATACCTCCCCTCCCCTTCCCGCGCACGCACACACACACTCACACACACATTGAGCACCCACACACATGCACACACACGTGCGCACGCACCTTCTGGCCTCCTGCTCGCCGCCGGCCTTCTCGTTGTTGGGGAAGCGCTGGTACACGTACCGCCCCACTGCTCCCCGCTTCGCCGCTGCGGTTGGGCAGGCGGGACGAGGGGCTCATGGGGAGGGGGACGTGAGGTGAGGGAAAGGGAAGGGTTGAGCTGCGGTTTCGAGAATGCATGAACTGGACACATTGAGTTGGGCGGGTCAGCTCATGGCACGGCACTTGCTGATTGCACCTTCGAGTGGCTTTAACTGCTGCCTCATATTTCAGCTCATTACCAGAGCTGAACCTTTCTGGTTGGGCTCATTGAGTCGCAGCAGCCAGCACCTGGCAGCACCTGGCAGCACCTGACAGCACCTGACAGCACCTAGCAGCATCTGGCAGGAAGTGGCAGCACCTAGCAGAGGTGGGAGCTTGCAGCACCTGGCACGGAGGCAGCACCTAGATGGCAGCGCGCGCCTGGCTGGCAGCGGTGGCAGCACCTGGCAGCGCCAACAGCACCTGGCAGCGCCAACAGCACCTGGCAGCGCCAACAGCACCTGGCAGCGCCAACAGCACCTGGCAGCGCCAACAGCACCTGGCAGCGCCAACAGCACCTGGCAGCGCCAACAGCACCTGGCAGCGCCAACAGCACCTGGCAGCGCCAACAGCACCTGGTAGCGCCAACAGCACCTGGTAGCGCCAACAGCACCTGGCAGCGCCAACAGCACCTGGTAGATGTCAACAGTGAGGAACTTGGAGGGAGGCAGGGGGGGGAGCGTGATGGCAGGGGGGGAGCACCTAGCAGCATGGGAGCACCTACCGATATGACAGGACACACCTGGCAGCGCCTGGTAGATGTCGACTGTGAGAAACTTGGTGGGAAGCAGGGGGGAAGCGTGGGCAGCGTGGGGAGCGTGATGGCGGGACCTACCTATATGACAGCACACACCTGGCAATGCTGGCAGCACCTGGCAGCACACACCTGGCAATGCTGGCAGCACCTGGCAGCACACACCTGGCAGCGCCTGGTAGATGTCGACGGTGAGGAAGTCGGTGGGAGGCAGCGGGGGGATTGTGATGTGGGGGTCCTTGTTGTGTGCGCGCTGCATGATGGCGTCAAACTGCGTCAGCTCCTCGGGCGACTGCGCCAGCTCGCACTCAAAGAAGTTGTGCCACCCCAGCGTCGACAGCATCGCCTCTATCTGCCTCGCATATACGCATCACCAGTGCCACAGGCGAAACCGCGGGAGGAAGAAAGACAACAGGGAAATGGGAGGAGCAAGGGGAGATTGGTTGTGAAGACGGGGAGGGGGGCGGGTGGTGAGTGCGCCAGCTCGCACTCAAAGAGGTTGTGCCACCCCAGCGTTGTCAGCATCGCCTCGATCTGCCTCACACGTAGCAACGAGAGGGAAGGAGAAGGGAGGGGGCGGGAGAGCGGGGTGTAGGGGCGGGACGCGGTGTGGGTAACAGGGAAGGGGCAAGCAGCGGAGGGGGGTTGGGGGGTGAGAGTAGGATGCTGGCGTTTCGGTTGTAAGACACGGCACAGACTGCGGGCTCACACTTGAGCACTTCTTGTTATCTGGATTCTCTGGAAACGATCCAACTGCTTGTCAAGTGTGACGAGTGTGGGTGTGCCCGGGGTGTGGTAGGGTGTGGTGGTGGAGGGCATGGCAGAGGGGACGTACGAAGGGCTCGGTGGCGTGATCGTAGAGCTCGGAGCGGCGCAGCAGGAAGCTGAGCTTGTCAAACACCAGCTTGCCCGCCTCAAAATGATCCTCCATCTGCCATACCGCACCGCACCGCACCGCACGCAGGGAGCAAGCAAGGGGGAAGAGGGAGGTTCGGTTGGAAAGGGGGGAGGACGATGAAGGGGTTGTGTGGGAGAGTGGAGCAGGTGCAAGGCAGAAGCGAAACCGATACTCTATATGGGGCAACACAGTGGGTGATGCAACACACATAAGCAGGCAGCAGGTGGAAGGAGGAAAGTGTGGTGTGGGAGTGTGAGAGTGTGAGGGTGTGTGACTGTGTGAGCGTGTGAGTGTGCGCGTGTGTAAGTGTGCGAGTACGAGTGTGTGAGCGTGTGAGAGAGCAGGAGCACGCACCACGAAGTCCTTGTAGCCATGCAGCACGGACGCCAGGAAGCGCAGAAACAGCTGCCTGCACATGGTGAGCAGCACATGATGTGGGCATGTCGGGAGCATGTAGGGGAGCATGTGACAAGCATGTCAGGGTCGTGAGAGCGGGAACATGTCAGGGTCGTGTCAGAAACTTGTTGAGCACGGTGGGATGGGTTCAATTCAAGCACATGCGAGAGCAACCATGCGCACCAAGACAGAGCGTCAGGAGGAGGGGTGCCATGCTGCTGGGTGGGTCACATTACAACAGCAAGCATATCACAACTGAATGTAAGGACACAGTGATAAATCCACCAGCACACTCCCACCCGAACTGCCAGTGCTACCGCCCTCACCGGAACTGCTCGTCGTGGTGGCGGCCCCACGTCTTGAACGTCTTCTCGTCAAACTGCTGCACGCCCGCAGCCAGCAGCGGCGAGCGGTGGTGCCTCACCGACTCCAGCACCGCCAGGTGCGGGTGGATCAGCGCGTGCAGTGCCGCCCTCAGCTCGGAGGCCTCGGGCTCGGGCAGCGGCGGGATGTCCTCCTCCTCCTGCTCGCTCTCCAGACTCATCATGCGCACGCGGTTGGAATCCAGATCCACCAGTACCACCTGCCACAGGGGAGCGGGTAAGGGGGGGTTGAAGGGGGGGTGAGGTGGGATGGGGATTGAGGGAGGGTTTGGTTGAAGGGAGATGTGCATTCGCGTATTTTTCAACGCGTCTGTATTGTGGTCGGCACACATCTTGTGTCTGTCTGGGCACACCAGCACCCACTGGCACAGGGGATGTGGGCGTGGAGGGATGGGAGGGGGGGTTGGTTGCAATGAGATGCAGAGAGTGGAGCACACTAAACCTTTCAAGCGTGGGCTGACTCACAGTCACCAACAACTCGCCCTCTTTTGATTGCTCGCAACACTACCTTCTGACTGCTCGGCTACAGCCCTCCTTTTGACTGCTCACCACCCTCCCTTCTGGCAGCTATCAGCCCTAATGTGCGCCTGCCTGCTACCCAGCGCCATGAGTCTGCAACTCTCGAGTCGTCAATGACACTGGCTACTGACCCCATCGAGTTCGTCCTGCAGTTCGAACTCGGAGGTGTTGATGCCGTAGATGAAGATGCCCGGCGCGTGCAGCAGCTCCAGCAGTGGCAGCGGCAGCACTGGGATGTACGGCAGCTGCGGCACGGGGGGGAGGTGGGGAGGTGGAGGAGTGGTTGTGAGGGAGAAGGCGGCGAGAGAGAAGAGGAGGAGTGCACAGCAGACAGACACTTTGTCTTTTGCACTGCGTGTGCATAAAGTTGACAAGACTTTGTACGAGAATGCTTTCAAGTGTGAGGCTGGTGGTGAGAACAAGAGAACGCTGACAGTAAGAAAGGACGTGCGCAGCAGGCAGCCTAGCAGGCAGCCACCCACGACAAGCATCACTGCCACGCCCCACAAGGCGACTCAGCCACCACAGCCCGTGCTCACCCTCCCTTCCCTTCCGGCCTACTGTCACCACTGCTTACCATCCATTTGTAGGGGTAAAGCAGCCCTGACACCGCCTCCGCCACGTTTGTCAGTATCTTCAGCCTGCAGGGATATGAGGGCGGGCAGCACAGACGAGAGGAGAGGCGAGCAGGGGGAAGCGAGGAGCAGGCGCAGATAGAATGAGGAATGGAAAGTGGGAGAAAAATGTGCAAGAACAAGCCATAGATTCCATATTGAAATACTCACATGCCCCCAAGCAGCAGCACTCTTCTCTCCAGGAGCACGGCTGTGAAGAGCTGGATGATGTTGTCAATGTCGAGACAGCTTACAAGGGGGAGAAACGACACCTGAGGTGCAAGAGAGAGGAGTGGCAGGGAAAGAGGAGGCAGAGTCGAGGGAACGATTGCAATGGTGTGTGCGGTGAGATGCGGGCACAGGTCCATGTGATGTGACGACGCAAGGCGGTTCTGAGGGGGTGCAATGCAGGTGTGGGAGGAAGAGGGGCTACAGGTGCGGTGCCAGGCAGCAGCACGTACATGCTGGTGTGGTGCATAACGCACCAAGCGTCATGGTTGCTCTAGAGTGTGAGACGGGGCAATGGCAGCGGGAGGCAAGGCCGTGGCATTGTAGGATATTGTGGGGTGGGAAGAGGGGGCACTGACGTGCGAGGAGGGGAGGGCGTTGGGGTCAGGCAGGGTGGTGGAGAGCACGACGCTCTCAACGCTGAACACCACCGTCTGCTGCGGGCTTGATGGCAGCGGCACCGACATCACCCCCGCTATTATGTCCCATATCGGCCGCCTGCCATGCCATGCCATGCCAGGACATTCCAAACCATGCCAGCCTCAAGCCATGCCATGCAGTGACATGCCAGCAAGCCACACCAGAGCATTCGATAGGGTTGATGACTTTGTGCCATGTGATGGGCAGAGAACGCTGAGAAGGAGCAGCTTTGCACCCGAGTAGGAGGGGATTATTCAAGGCATGAGAATGGACCATCGGTGAGGGGCAAGAGAGAACACAAGCGTCGCAACAAAATAGGAGTGGAGGGAGAGGAGGGGGGGAAGGAAAGGGAGGGAGGGAGAGGAGGTGGGGCAGGAAGGGCAGCGAGGGGAGGGAGGGCAGGCAGGGCTGTGAGGGAGGGAAGAGTGGGTAGGTAGGTAGGGCACTGACGGGCTGCCGAGCGGTTGGAAGGCGAGGCGGTGGATCTCAGTGAGGAGGTCGGCGAAGGTGTCGAGGAAGGGGTAGTGCGACACCACGCACAGACACTTGTCCGCGTACGAGTTGGGCGGGATGGAGTACGCCTGCGCCACGTCATCGTCCACCAGGTCGCGGAACGCCAGCACTGACACGTACACCTTGGTGCCGTCGCCCTCTGGGGGGGGGGGGGTGGGGCGGGGAGGGAGGAGAGGTAGTGTGGGGAGGAAAAGAGTAGGCAGAGCGTGAGATGGTGCACGGAGGAGCAAAGGGCTCTAAAGGCGCGGAGAACGGGATTCTGGACGAGACAGCTGAGGCGTGACGACTCTCCCTGGCGTACCGCGACGCTGCGTGCGGACAAGTGGATTTGATATTCTGGCACTCGCGCATGGGCGCGGGAACTGCGACAGCCCAGGTTATGGATGTGAGGGCGAAAGGGTGCGGGAGGGTGCGAGGGGCGTACCGGTGAGGATGATGGGGTAGGATCGCGGGAACGACAGCGGCTCGTCCTGGTTGGCGCCATGGCTGTAGAAGCGCAGCCCGCCGGGGAGCACGGCCTGGGGGGAACGGCGCAAGGGGATGGCGCAGGGGAGCGGAGCAGGGGACGGCACAGGGGGACGCGCACAGGGGGACGGCACAGGGGGACGCGCGGGGACGCAGGGAACCACGTGGTTGGACGCGGGGGCAAGAATGTCGGGAGCAAGAGGAGCTGTAGAGTAGAGGAGGGTCGATGCGAAAAGCGAAGCGCGCGAACAATGTACGCACAGCTGACGCGGAATGCGGAATCTGCGTGACAGAAGCAGGCGTGCGGCTGACAACCTAGGCGGAACGCTACTCTAATGCATTAACTCCGCCTAAAAGCATAATGTGATTTCTTAGAGCTTGAAAAAAAAGGAAGCTCTCATTGAGAGGATGTCGCACCAACGGTAACATTTCCGGGATCTTGAATTTCTTGTGCTCCTCAGCCGGCAGGCGGTCGATGAGCACAGGCATGTACGAAATGCGCACACCATGGCTCTTCATGCCGTGGAATCCGCGAGTGCCGTCCATTAACCGCAGGTCCAGACCTAAGCCGCACACCACGAAATAGTCCAGGAATCGCGTCTTCCATAGCGGCCCGTCGGTCGCTACAGCTGGCGCTGCCGCGGTTCCAGCTGCAGCAGCCATGTGCGCTGCTTAGTGTGTGCGATGGGAAGTGACTGACTAGGCAGAAATGAGCGGGAAATCAAGTCGGGAGAATGACTGAATGCATCACCAATGCGGATGTTACGAAGCTAAGGACGGAGGTTTCGCCATGTTGACGGAGATATGGCGCACTCGGAGTTACGGAGCTACCTCCTACGGCAGGGACGACGCCGCGCGAAACCAAAACGTGCAGAAAATCGCTCTCAAAATAAGGACTTTCGAGCTCGCGTTGGTCTCCTCGCGGAGTGCTCCTACGAAGTATGGCTGCCGGCGTCTATTAGGTTTAGAGGAATCCAGGGAACATTAGATGACTCTTGGACATTCCCGAGGCTTGGCCTGCCAGAGACGTAGATGGAGCAGTATGGTTGGGTCATCAGTGAGCGTATATCGGAAATTGTTCAATCTTGGTGTGGTGCAGAGGCTGGTGAGGGGTGCTGCTGCTCATTCAATAAAAGGAGAGTTGTAAGGAATTTTCTTGATATTCCTTAGCGCACCCTGCAACATCGCGTACAGCAGCAGCCGTTGTTCGCCCGTTACTACTAACAGGGCTTCGCCGACTTAGCGCGCACTGTTTTCCCAAACCTCGCACTGCTGGACCGGCCGTGTCGGCATACGCTTTGGGACTAGCCCGAGCCTCGCTCCAGCGTAGCACTAGCTAGCTCGCACGCACCGCGTTACCGTTTGCATGTTTCGCGTATAAATGTTCGCTCATGCCTTCGCTCACATTTTGTACTCGTTTGACACTTTAGTGCAATTCTCGCTACTTCGATTCATTGCACCCGTAACAAAAGTACAATACATGTTATTTACATATTGCTATTAACGAGTATGGAGAAATGGAGGGGTGAAGAGAAGTGGGAGTAAATCAAATTATTGTGAAAGAGAGGAGTGGAACTTGAGTGGAGAGATAAAGGAGAGGAGGAGAGAGCGTATAAAATGAAGACTGTAGGAAAAATAATGAGATCTGAAAAAACGAAATAAGGGATACTACCGTAAGACCCCGGATATAAGCGCACATTCGCTTGTAATAAAATGTGATTTTCGAGGGGGGTGCTGTTACGAATAGTAATGTATGAACATTACAGTGCAGCCCTCACCGCAACTAAGGAAGCATGAAGTAACGAGAACGAATGCGAGGAGTCAGAATTGACTCGAAGCGTCAGACGGTTATGTGAAAGTTTAGAAGAGAGAAGAGGGTTGAACTAGCAAGAATGGGGATACAAATAGCAAACCCTAGAAGGGTTGTACTCGCTATGGAGCACCCCACTACAGGCTAGAGCATAATATTCTGACACACCCCCATAGCCAAAGTGGGGTGTAATCAGCAGAGCAAGCAAAGCAGTACAAGCTCAGGGTGGATCACAATGTCACTACACATTCTGAGCACAAGTTCAAGAAGCAATAGTTTAAAGTTAACAATTATGAGCAAAGTGTTGGAAACAATAAGTCTTAGTGCGCTTCTGTCGTGTCAAAACCCAAGATACTAGCGAAGCAGCCCGAATCGAAGCATCGAGTCAAACCTCGGAGGTTAGGGTAACCGCCTGGAGGTTAGGGTAACCGCCTGGAGGTTACGAGAAAGTCAAAGGTCAGCGACCTTTGACTCGACAATTACAGCGCGATAGTTAAGGACACACAACTGACTCGTTGCAGAGCAGTTGCCCGAGTCGCACTGTATCGAATCGCAACAGCAATACAGTTATCTATCTATTCGTATTCCCTGTACCCTTATATAAGACCTTGTATTTGCTTGTTTAATTTAATCTACTTTGCTCTCACACACTAGTGCAAGGTCGGTTCACAAGTTTCATTAAACGCTTCCGCTATTACAAGTTTCCTACCCAGAGTTATCCTCTGCAAAGATCCTTAAGGGCCTTCTCAGCCCAACATGGTATGAGAGCTGACAGGGGAAACTCTAAATTTTTTATATTACAAGACATGGCAACAAACAAGGAAAGGAGCTCCCCTAATGGCTCCTCGGGCACTACTCCTACTCCTACTCCACCACCAACCTCTGGCCTGCAGACAGAGGAAGGCACGGCAGCAAGACCAAGGGGAACGTCAACCGAGACCCCCACGAATCACCCTTCTGACTTCGACCAGAGCATGATGGAGAAATTCTTCTCCTTCATGTCCTTCTACGAGCAACACCAGCAGTCGGGACCTGCACAGACACACAACAGCAACAACGGAGCGACACCCATGAGCCTTGATGGGTCGTCATATGCGCGAGGGAATCAACAGCAGCAGCCCACCTTCGCCCCGTACGAGCCCGGGTCGATCAGCTTCCTGCCTCAACCTTCACCTGCGCAAGACAAACCAATGGACGCGTTACAAGTTCAGTCGCAATTCGCGCATGTTTTGAAATTACAAACGTCAAGACCTTTCGACGGAAAGGACTTCTTCACCTGGTCCTTTGAATTCGAGCTGATGATGGAGGGCGCGCAGATACTCGGCTTCTTCGACGGATCCCTGCAGTATCCAGCAAACGGCACACAGTATGAGAAGCAGCAGTATACGTATCAATCGATGATGGCGTATAATATTCTACTGAGAAACATCACACCAACCCAGCAGCAGAACATTCGCTCTTACCGGAACTTCGGCAACTCGGCGGAACTTGCGTACGGCCATCTGAAGAACCTGTATCAGGCAACAGACAGTGTAAACCAGAGCAGGTTAATGGCGCAGTTGACAACAGTTGAAATGAAACCAGGAGAAAAGGGGTTGGCGTATATCAGCCGATGTCGCGAATTGCGCGACAAGCTTCTTCGATGCGGAGGATCAATCTCTGAAGACGCCTTCGTAACAGTCGTCATCGGTGGCCTCGGTCCTCAGTGGCGCGCCACCAAAGCAATTCTTCGAGCACACGGGAGGATCTCCGAAGCGGCACTCTGCGCCGAAATCCACGCCGAGCAGCAGGATATGGACCTGCAAGAAGAAAGGCACAAGAAAAGGGCATTAGCACCGGAGTTCGCTTTCCACACTCAGCGACGACACAACAACTACAACAACCGACAGCAGCAGCCGAAGTTAGTACCTCCGTTTTGTCACATCTGCAAAACATCAGGACACCCCCGCACGCATTGCCCGTCCCGTCAGACAACACCACAGCGACAACTGCGGCCTTCAAGCTCACAAGTTGCTTCAACGAAAGCAAGTCCGACAAAAACGATTCAAGCTTCAACGACTTCAACTGGACAACCTGCACAAGGAGCAAGAAACATAGTCAACTGCATGGTAAAGATAAACGACTCTTGCATAACAGAGTCACCACCCCATTACTCACCAGAAGAGGAGCTCGACAACAGGACGCCTCGCCGCGAATCACTCCACCCGAATCCGACTTACGCCGCCATCGCTCAAAGTGAACCGTCTGGCCAAGACACTTGGTTCTTGGATAGTTGCTGCGGGCAACACATGTGCTCGTCCGGGCGCTTCGTACAACGCGAACATCGACTCCAACGAGAAGTGATCATCACGGTCGCCAACAATCAAAACCTGCGCACACGACGACAAGGAGTGGTACAGCTTCAGTCAAGAGAAACAAATGTCATACTGCACATGTCTAAGGTACTCATTGCTGAAGGACTCGGTTACAACTTACTGAGTGTTAGCCAGCTGATGGCGAAGGGGATTCACCTGGAAGCCGACAGCACCACCCAGGAGTTCAAGCTATTGTGAAGAAAGCAACGTGAATGAATTGACTACGAACGAGGTGAGTACAAATAGGAAACCCTAATTGGGTTGTACCCCCTATGGGATACCCCACTATAGCCTACACAAACAAGTAAGCTATAATTTTCTGACACACCCCCATAGGCAAAGTGGGGGAGAACAAGGGGTCACAAGACCAGTCAAGCAAAGCAAAGCAAAGCTCAGGGTGGATCACAAAGTCACCACACATTCCGAGCACAAGGTAAAGGGCCACAAGGCCAGTTCGCATGCAAGATCATATATAGAGATATACAAGAGTCAAGCAAGCAAGAGCAAGAGTATATATAGGTCAAGGTACAAGCAAGGTCAAGAAGTGAGCAAGTGAGACAAGACAGGCACAAGACCCAGCTGCGTGCAGCAACGCTGATGATCACAAGGCGCAAGTGCCTTGGTGAAGACATCAGCAGTGTTGGCCTCAGAGGCCACGTACGCAAGTCGCAACTGTCCACGCTGCTGCAGCTCACGAGCAAGAAAGTAGCGGAGAGCAATGTGCTTTGTCCTGTGCTCAATTCGCTGCTCTCGACACAAGGCCAGCATGGCCTTGTTGTCTACGTACAGGACTGGAGGAGAACGAGGCGGCTCTCCAAGGTCGGTCAGCAGGTAGGTGAGCCAGCGAAGCTCCTGAGCAGCCATAGCCCCGGCGTAGATCTCAGCCTCACAACTGGAGCCGAGAACAGAAGACGAGCGAGTAGCCCGCCACGAGACAGAGCCGGAACCAAGGCTGAAGGTATAACCCTGTGACGACCGCTGTGTAGCCTGGTCGTCAGCCCAAGAAGCGTCCGCGTGCCCAGTGAGGACCACTGGACTGCGCCCTCCAAGCACTAGCCCCATGCCCGACGTACTGCACAAGTAGCGCAACACCCTCTTCGCTGCAGCCATGTGCTCTGGTCGGTGTCTCCCAGGAGCAACATAGCGTGCGAGAATGCTGAGAGGGTATGCGAGGTCAGGTCGTGTGCAGGTCATCAGGTACATGAGGCAGCCAACAAGCTCTACATACGGGCCACTCGACTCTACAGACTCATCCGAAGGCAGAGCTGAGAGCGAGTGGCGAGTAGGCAGAGGAGTGGCCTGAGGCGAGGAGTACGTGAAGCCGAAGCGCTGAAGGACCTGCTGCACCATGTGTGACTGAGTCAAGGTAATGGTGCGGCGTGCTCTGTCCCGGGTGATCTGCAAGCTAAGGTAGCTACGCAGTTCACCCAGGTCAGTGCACGTGTGTCTCTTCCGCAGCTCGGACTTCACGTAAGCGAGTCCAGCAGTGTCCGCTGTGG